ATATTTCAAAATTTTTGACCACGACCCGGGGGTCGTGGGTGTCTTTCATTATTCTCAGCGCTTTGCAAATCCATGATCTAATGCAGTGGTCTACACGCTCGGATGCCGCATTATTCCTTTCGATAGTCTGGCAGGCCGTCATTACCCCCTCCCCCTCCCTATTGCTACAATAATATTATTTTTAGGCATAACGTCAGAACTAAGTTCCCGACTCCCCCCTTGCCCTGCGACACCCTCAACTTACCCAAAAATGGGTAATTCTCTCCTATGGAGATAGATCCCTGATCTAATGGAGATGATAAAATGTTCTGGCAGAAGAGAGTTGTTCGAAATTATTTCTTATGATTTGTTTTCAAATGCCTCTTCACCTTTTCATTACGATTGATGTACCACAGTGTTTTATCGTACGGTGTTGGTATGATCACATCCGCTTTGAATACGTCTTCGCCATTAATATTCCACTGCCTAGGTAATGCTTTAGCACTCGCATATTTCAATATTTCTTGACGCCATTTCGACGAACTCAACATCCGAACCTAAAATTGCAATCAGTTATTTATCAGTGCATCGATAGTTCTAATGAATTCATTACAGAAGAACGTCACTTCAGGACGGGAATCTTTGAAGATTTCGGAGTTATTACAAAATGAATGCTGAAAAATGTTCTTAAGATATTGGATCTATTGATATCGTTGAAGTTTACTACAGAAGGATGCAGTATCTGAAAAATAAGATAAAAAGAGATCAGTTTCATGCATCTCAAATGATCTCAGATAGCAGTTTCTTTTTCTCCAGCCAGCTGACAAATTGTTTATTCTGAATAAATTCTGCTTCCTCACCAGAATTTATTCAGAATATGAGTCGCCAACTCATGCACTTTCCATTAAATCTGATCAAATAACTCAATGAATTTCACTGTTTCACTACAAACAGTCTTTCACAAGGCTCGAGATAGTTTTAATGAAGTTTTTTCAAGATTACAGCTCATAATAATGTCAGCTGAATGCAACAAGCCTTTTGCGTTGTTCGTTTCGGTAGGAACGGTGAGATAAGAGCCCAAAAAGCAGTCATAAATGTCGGTACGTTGACCATAATGAAGTGCTTGATCATCTCAACATAATTATCGTTTATGAAATCAGCACAGCATCGAGTAGGTCCAACAGCAAGATCATATAAGTGCGAGTCGTACTGAAGTCCACTCAAATCAACCACATACATTACCCAAGCTTGCTTACCTGCAATCAGCATTAACAATGTTTTCACCTATGGTGCAATCTACTGCAGTGCGAGGACGGAAAAAACACGGGGACGTGGAAAATCGGGCATGAAATTTTGTAGTCGGGGATGCCGAAAATGCGGTCGGCTCAAAAACTGTCGGGGACGTAGATTCGGGGACGGGGACCCCAAAATTCCCCGATTCCCGAACCACACCAATTCAATCTTCATTCGCGAGGTCGCAATCAACTGAAATGGATCAGCGTATTGCCGGAAAATATGAGCATGCTAGGTTTCATGACCGTCAGATGAATAAGGCACTGGCAAATCTTGAAAATTGGCTTGTGAAGAATGAGTTTCAATAGCAGGCTATTGGAATATGATATCCGAAAAATAGCATGAATGGAGTGAATACTTGTCAAATCCACGTTGAAAATTTGAACGGAGTGAATTCACGTTGAAAATTTCGGTAAGGATCTTTACCAGTTTGTCTTTCCAAATCCATGACACTATGCAGAATGTGCTCTTGCTCTTCACTCAGTCCCAAGAAAATTTCAGCCAAAGAAAACGTTTGTACCATGCCATAGTAATCTGTTCTGCCGCACTTAACAAACTGATTATTTGTGATTGGTCTTTGGAACGATGAAATAATCGATGAAACGAAACGATCAAATTGAAATCGCCTATGAAATTGGATGACAGAAGAGATATGCGAAATAGGAATTTGAGTTTTAGTGAATTCATCACATTTCTTTTGTTATTACAAGTTTCAAGTCCAATGAAACTGTTGTTGGATAATTTGATAGTGTGAAGAGAAAAAATACGATAATTAGGTTTCTGGAGCAACTCCCTCTGTGAATATCCTCGAGAATACCGTGTTCTTTGAATGATAACCCGCAAAAATTGCTGGCTGATTCAGTGGAATTATTCACTTGAATGATGCCTGATTGGTTAGTTCTTCGAACATTTATGACAAATGGATTCCAGACTGATTACCTGATCCACGACAACCACAGCGTTTTCGTAAGGTATTTGTTGGATATGTTTCGGATTACGTTTTTGACAGTTGCGCTGCATTGGTTTTTGCCACATCTCATCGAATTTCCATACCGTTGATCTTTTTAAAGAACAATTGATCAGTTGAAATGATCAAAATTCAATCATCAAATCGGAATGCATCATCAGTCACTGTGAAAATGATTAGGAGCATTCAAATGCGCAATGGAAACGCTCTCAACCAAACGAGTGCATTAAAAAACTCGAAGAGATTTATGCGTAACAACTGCGAACGATTCAAAACTTTCCCCAGAACCATTTACATTCCAATTCAAAACATCAATTTTCTGAATTATTTTCCTAATGAGAACTTTTTTATTTCTGTGTTTTTTTACGCTCCATTTTTTGAGAAATTTTTTGAGAACCATTCTTTGTCGAATGAGTTTTATGATCATCGAAATCGCACGTTCGTTCGGCAGCGGACCGATTTTTGATTTGCTATTAATTGCACAATCGACTGCAAGCAAAGTTTGAATAGGACAAGTACCTCAATTTGAGATGTTGATTCAGTTTTTCAGCGATATCCTTCAATTCCAAATCAGGATGTCCTTGCAGCCAACGTAACAGATTGAAATCCGTATCGTAGTATTCAGTTAAATTCTGTTTGACCAATTCACGCAATTCTTCAACACGTCGGCGATCTTCATCGCTCATTTGTGCTACCTTCATTTTTAATTCCTAATTTTTGCTCACAATCCTTCCTCCTGAAATATTTCTTCAAGTACATTAGCGCACTATTGATAACGTATTTTGGACTGATCGTTTCACAAAGACAATCATTAAAACATTGAATATCTTCGATATATAACCCGAGTACGCACTATCTAGTACCCAAGTAGATTGAAGAGCATAATTTACTGCGATGTGCAAATTAATTGTAAGGCGCAAACACACATATCCACATATTTCAAATCTCCTAGCTAACGGCCAAAATCTCTCGCTGTTCCGATTAATTGCATCGAATTCGAATTGATCGGTACGCAACTTTGAGTATACACAACCGAAATTTTAAATTTAAAAAATCTGGGTGATTTTGAAAAATCATTTCAAAATTATTTTAAATATTTTAAACAAATGATTTCGATTCCCTCTACTGCAGTGGTTCTTCCGCTCGGGTGCTTCATTACCTCCTTCTATGGTCTGGCAAGCCAATTTATCAGTTCCACGCAAAACGTCATTAAAGAAACCAAAAACCAGTCCGGAAATCCCGTGAAAGCAATTAATTTTCCGCAATGAAACAAGTATTTTTAGAAAGTTGTTGAGCAGCTGTAGAAACAGTATGCACTTTAGTAATCAAAAACGAAAAGTGCAATGAAGAAAAATCAATATTCTTGAGCGATGGAAAATGGAATACATAACAAGCTCACAATCAGCTATTCATGAAAATGGAAGATGCTATGAAAGTATGAATATTTATATTCAGATCGACAGAAAAGCAACTGTTACATCAAAATGATCGTTAAGGAATAAATAAAAATTCAAAAATGGATGAAAATAGATCCGAACTATCAACAATTTTGAGACACGACAAATGCATAATGTCTGCAATCCCTATTCTACTTTTCAAGCATTTCAGTCATTAACATCGCAGAAATGTTGTCGTTCATCATAGAAGAAGCATTATACTGGTTGGAAATACATTCATAAACGAACAAACTATTAGAAATCCAAGCAATGAAAAAAGAAATCGATGTCATCAAATGAGAAGTATTACAGAAAACACAAAATCAATCGTTTGAACCCGATGTAAATTGTTCTTGATGAATTTAGCATTCAAATGAAGTGGGGATTATCGAACAATTTACAAGCCGAGAGTCTTAAAGCATAAGGAAAAATAAATTGAAATTTATATTTATAAATTGACCATTCGGTCACACTGGTGTCTAATCGTAAGCATCTCAGTGATAAATATGGAAAATAACCCTCAATCTAGAATCCGAAAGCACAATGACCATATGGTACACATCTGTTATATCCATAACACGATTGAGCAGTTACTCACAATCAGTTCAAAAAAAATCGCTGACTAACACAAAGCAAAAATCGATCTATATGCACTGAACAGAAAACTTACCAAAACTTTTCACAGCAACCGAATAATAATGATCGATCAACTCAAAAATACTTGCTTGTATCGCATCAAAACAGACATCTTTCCTGCCTCACCAAAAAGCTCAACCGATTCCTAGTGGTCATAAGAGACGATGTCTGTCAATATATTAAGAAACTGACGAAGTACTTGCGACTGCTTCACTCTGACTTTTGTTCATGCACTGGCGAGCTAAAGACACTGAGAAAATAGGATAAAGAAGAGTGTTGCGATGAGATGAGCGATCTGCATCCAGATATCCGAATGGAAAAAATACCATTGCAACGAAATTTCATCATAGCGATCAGACGAACTAAAGATAGTGAGAAAACAAGAGAATGAAGAGTGTTGAGGGAACGACGTGAACGTATCCAAGAGAAATGGCATCATCACAATGAAATTCCATCACAATATAACAACTGCAAGAAATACTAATCCGATGACCCCCTCCATTACCCCCTGACACCTCCACATAACTCAAAAATGAATAGTTGACTCCCTGCGGGACCTCTGCACTATTGGAATAATTTCCAAACGTTACAAGTCCCCAAAAAACAATGAAAAGATGGATAAAACTAAATGTAGGATACGGTAAAAATGCTGGGAACAAAACAGTGGAGAGTGACGTCGATAAATAAACTGAACGTTCCGTGATCAAGCCATTTATATACTGAAAGAGCAAAGAACAAGTTCTTCCAAATGTCACGCAAAATAACATTTTGACTCAAGAAAATTTATTTGATAAATTGCTGACAAGACAAAATGGCGTCAACCCAATATGACATTGCAATAAGAACGATGTTGTTGAGATGATCGAAACTTTACAATTTTTGAGAATGTTTGATGTGAAGTGGAATTCCTATCGTATCTAACAAGCTGAAAATGACTTCCATCCATCGAAAATGACTTTCATTCATCTTTGAATGTAAACTGTAAAAGAATTTCAAGGGAAATGGCATCATTACAATGAATTTCAACTGGTTTATGAGCATTTGGAAGAAACGATAAAATATCGCCATGACATTTCTATTAGAAAATGGAAAATATTATTCACTCATTCAGCTCGCCATATAAGTAAATGCTAAAACAACAAACTTTGCAATTTGTTTACGTGAATGAACAATACCTGATAGGCTGCAAGAGCAGTTAATGTGAGTAGTGCTGATAAATAAAACTGTATTCATGGAAAAAGAGTTGATTTTATGCGAGTAGTATTATCAGGCTTTCGTTATCACAAAGTCTCTGTTGACATAAAGCCTTACGTTTCCTTTTTTGCATTCATAAAAAGTCTGCTTTTTGCAAGCGATTTTGTTGTCACAAGCGATTTCACTATAGCATTTTATTTTCACAATTATTTGCCACAACATAAACAGTGAATGACATTGCATTTATCATCAGAGAGGATGCTTTCAAGACACATTTGAAAATTTATTAACTTTACAAATCAGAGTATCAACTTTTTTTGTTTCAAAGACATCAACAGATTGGAAAAGCATCAATACACGAAAACATAACACGAGTCCTTTGCTCCGTTCTTTCAAGATATCTTTTACAAATGAAATTTCCCCACTCTACGATGACCTTTAGTAAAATTGCATACTTACATATGTTATGCCAGATATTCCTACTGTGCTTGCATTTAACTCAATACCATTTTGGAATGATTGCACCAGAACCGTACATAAAATAAAAGCAATATCCGACAGTGCTCTGAGCCATTGTACATCTTATAAGTTAAACAATCAGCATGATTCTTAACACAATTTTAGCGCGACCACAAACGACCGTATGAACACTTTGTTGCTAACCTGTGACCTAAATTAGTTGAAAAAATACTGATTTTCATATATGAGAACAATATTCGCATGGAATGATTTCAGTGAAATTCAAATGAGAGTAACAGAGTCCAAAATCCAAAGTCCAAAAGAGCAGTATTCAAACGAAGAAAGGAATAAAATTCATTGGACGCTGAACAAGTAAAAGTACAAAATGTAAACCATGATAACGACTTTCATTTTACTACTGCAGGTACGGTTAGGTGGAAATGATCTTCCTTCAAAATGTCAATCAACTCAAAAGCCGCTCATTTGAAAACATTGTAATTTCGAGACCATAAAATGCATCAAGCAAAACAATTGCTGTATGTAGCAATCTATGATCCATCGTTATTAAATTTGTACCTCAAAGGAACGCAATAAAACGCAATACGCATCTGTGCAATGATCACTAATACTAACGCATCCTCTATGTTTGTTTAATCGCTTAAAACCACCCTTCTCGATAAACCAGTCATAAACTAACCAAGATTATCGTCCCTAACTATAACGCAAACAAATCGAAAAATATCAATTCTAGAGAAACTGATCGATAAAAGTTCACCTCCAAGACAGACGAACGAATGGAAACGTTTTGCAAAAGCTAATAAAACAATAATAATGAAACAAAATAACCAATAAGGACAACAATGAAGACAACAAAAACAATTATCAACAGTGTTATAAATCATTCAACTCAACCAATTCAGTCAAAGAATGATGCCACAAAACACAAGATGAACTGATTTGTGACCATAAGGAACATTCTAAAGGAATGTCGCCACCTGCAGCCTTCCACATTCACCCACACTTGTTGCTATACCGACATCAGTTCTTCTGATACGGATGCTAATTTTTTCTTTATCTCTTCTGAAACCAGATCCATCGACTTTAAAGTCAAATGACAAAAATGAAAAAATTCACCAAGTGATCGCAAATAAATTCACATCAAAATAATACCACCACACAGATATACGCATGTACAAATAAATTATAGTTCACTGTATTATATCTCATGAAAAACATATTGTGTAAATTCTTCTCAAAAATACCTGTTTGCTCATCAATCCAGTGTAACGAATCCATTTGTCTTCTCAAAATCAGCGCTATTTGATCGACCGTATTCGCTGCACTATTCTCATCATTGCCTCGCGATCGATCGTTCAATTCCTCCACCTTCAATACAAATTCTTTGAACTATCGCGAAAAAACGAACTCAAAAATGAAACAAATAAAACAAATAGCAAATAGACATATGCCATCAACTGTAAGAATATTTTCCTTTCAGGTTCAAGCAATGTCCATAGATTAAACATGTCCAACACAACGAATATTTCGCTTCTTGCAAATAATTATCGCTTGCAAAACATCAACTATTTATTCACTTCAATTAATGAAGGCAGGTGATAGAATTCGTGAAATTAATGAAGCAAAAGTGAAACCTGTTCAACGATATCGGTAATATCATCATCTGCTTGCTTCAATTGCGCGTCAATTTGAAGTTGAAGTTGCAATCTACAAATAACATGAAATCCGTTCATACGTTATAAATTTCAAATCACGCATAGCGCTGCAAACTGATTCAGCACCACAGCCATATACAACCATACTGAGCACAAATTAAAAGAGCATTTTCTCCTACGCTAATCATTCTGCAAAAGTAAACTCCTTTTAATTCCAATTCTGCCGAATAAACATTAATTTGAACATTACAAAAAACCTCATCAAAATAATAAACTCACATCGCTTGCCGTTGTGCATCAGCTTGAGTGGACAACGATGGATCTGGTAGGTTCACCGGTTCCATATCGATCCAATCGCCCATTCCTAATGACTTCTCCAACTCAACCACCATATTCTCCAGTTCGGTCTGTTGTTGTGCACCAAAATCGATTGTATGCACGAAACGATCGCGATCCTCTTCCAGTTGCTTCACTTCTTCACTCAACGAAAATATCTGCAATAATCATCAACGATAACGATTATGATTACAATAATGAGGACAACAATTCTTGATGAGAAAGGAACATTAATAAGAAACAATAGCATTAAGACTAACTTTTTGCTGATTTTCTCGTAAAACGCGATCATACGCATTCAACTCAAGCACTTGATTCATGAAGACACGTTCCTGTGACTCAACATCCAGCACCATTCGACTCAATAACTGCTCCAATTCATTGAACAGTAACGGCTTTGTTGTCCTCAAAACAAAATTCATCCATTTTCAGCTTCAATGAAGGGTTAACTAAACATGTTCAATAGCATCCAACATTCTGCTCAACTCGATTTTTGTGATGCTATTCACTACAGATTGGTTGATCGACAGATGATGGCTGATCTGTTAACTAACCCACCAAAGATTCACCCAAATTCTTGTCAAAAAATGATCTTTCCACTCCTAAAACTGTTCATCAATTCCTTCGATTCAACGTTCCAATTGACCCCTCCATTTCAAATCAAACCAAACAAGATGATATCAAAAAACCAACGATATCGCTGTTGCAGTGGGTGCAGCTGCCTGTGCCACATTACTCGGTTGAAGTGTCGTAGTGGTGCTAGTAGCTGCAGTCGTACTACTAGTTGCAGCTGCAGTTGAGCTCGTAGTTGTTGCTGCAGCTCCTGGAGCAGTACCGAACAGCGCCGCAGTCAACGACGGAGTGCTGCTACTCGAAGTAGTGGTGCTGGGACCAGACGACTGCAATCCAGCCTGAGTTGTTGCACTCGGAGCTGTCAATCCCGCTGTGGGCCTCGTAGTGCTAGTGGTAGCAGTGGTGACTGCTCCAAGTGTTGTAGTTGGTTGGGATTTCGTAGTTGACAAAAGAGACTGTGTTGAGAAGGTAGGAGCTGCTGATGAGGTCAATCCTGTAGAGGCAGTCGAAGCTGCCGAGCTACCGAATGAAATCTGAGGCGGCGCGACTGTGCTAGCAAGTGATGCCGTCGTTGTGGGCGCTGGAGCTTGAGGTGCTTTCTGCGCACTTATGCCACTGAAATTTGAAAGTTTCTAAGCGATGATATAGCTGTTTTAACACTGATGCTATTGCACGTTCATGATGAGGTTTTCTAAACTCACTGAAATTTTGGAACGAATGGTTCAAATTTGTTGGTGCACAGATCGAATTCAGTGAAGGTGATCAGATTAATAAATACGATAAAATTCTGTAGCAAGAGAAACTNGTGTTGATGGAACAGACGATCTGCAAAGGGAATCAACCGATCAAATTTGAAGAATAATGTTGGAATCGGAAATTATTAAAAACTGAATGAAGTTCGTACTGAAATGGAAGTGTCGCTATCGACGGCTCAGATTGTGAGTTTCAAAAACTTCGAGCACAATCTCCTCACGATCAGTTTTCAGTTGGAAAACATAACTTTTTTGGAAAAAAAAACAAAAAATTACCCGCCAACGGATGCTGATGTAACTGGTGCTGTGCCGAATAACGTGGACGCTTGAGTGCTTGCTAAGGTCGTCGCTGTTGTAGCTGGTTGTGCTGCTGTAAATAAGACAATCTCAACCTCAACTGAAGTGGGTGACTTAATTTCAAAATAACGGCCACCAAAGAGTACAAAAATGAATGTTGCGTAACAAAAATTCAGAATCTTTTATATGTGAATGCCAAAAACATGTTAAATAAATATACCTGCGCCGGTACCGAATGAGAATCCTGACTGCTGTTGAACAG